TTGCAGTTCAGTCTCTTTAAAGGTTGTGATGTTAGATTCACTGTCTGTAGATTTAGCATTCCGTTGTCAGCTGAAATCTCTCCACAGTGTTTAGATCATATTTATTTGGAGCTCACAAGTGTATAGAGTGAGAAGCTACAAATATGTAACAGTTTTCTTTAATAATTGTGACTTGTTTATTTTACATAAGCCGTGCCCTGCAAAAATGGCAACCTCTCCTTCAGTTCTGCTTTTCATCCATAATATGCAATTGACTGCTACTCTTCAAGCATAGAAAATGAGGGAATGCCTTAAACTGTAGGCACTCCGTAAATGCTATGATTTGTGAAAATAAATGCAACACAGAGTATCTTTTAATCAAGGAAATTCACTTGCTAGAAAAAATGAAACAATGGCCAAAAGTACATAATAAAACTTGCATCGATGATACTGTTGGTGAGAGCATAATGCATTAGTTATATCAGGAAAGCAGTTATTTTCCTTCTCAAATAGGTATCAGGAGAAGATACAATTTTAACTTTGTAGTATTTCTCAATGACTGACTTCATAAAACAATATAAAAAAGGGCCATTCTGAAAACTAACTGACCTTAGAGCACTCTTTTTTTTCAATAATGTTTTTAAAATGCCAACTATACAGGTGTACTGATGAGTATGTTTGGTGTGTGATAGGTGTTGGATGTGAGGGTGGACATTCAAGCTGGATTCCTGTTCCTATTTAAGGAGCATGCCCAAGCATGTTTCATATCATAAAATCCTTCATTTGTTTTCCTAGATGTGTAGTTATTCGTGTGTTTAAATCCCTGACTAGGATTTGGATGCAAGAAGGTCCGCAGAAAGGCCCGAGCGGTGCAGAGTCTCAGACAAGGCTGCTCTTCTGCAGGTTCAACAGTTGGTCCTGTTCTGCAGGACCAACAGTTGGTTTTGTTGGACTTAGGCCTGAGTGCATCGGCTTGAAATCTGGCTATACTTAATTTAGTTTTATATGTGGGCACGTCCACAATGAGACAGAATCAGGAAAGAGCAGATTGTCTTTATTCACTGCTGGTGAAGTAAAAAAAAAAAAAAAAAAAGTTCTGATTTAATTTCAGTTACTACTTTGAGCATATAATGTTGGGTCTGATTTGGACCTCTGTTTCTTAGCAGTATTTTCTTCTTTGTGTAAGGTGGAATCAATGATGAAATGGCATTTCTGCACTGCACTAATTTATTTATGGCTGCAAATAAGATTAAAAAATGACTAGGAGGTAATAGTGGATTTAACTGTGACGTTTCCCAATTTCCCCTGCAGGAAGCCGAAAGAAGCTTGGTCCTCCAGTTTGATGGATAGAATTAGGTATCTCCAGAATTTAATTGTAAGATGTTTGCCATCCTTCCCTAGAGGTAGCAATACAGGATTTTATATTTGACAGTATTTGCATAATATAAACATAAGTTCACTTATGATAACTTTATTTTAAATCCATATACACTCCAAAAAAAAATCAGAAGAAGTTCCACCACAAAAGACTGCGTTAAGATGGAGTCAGGGTTGCTGATGTCCTTCTTACATAATAAATACTAAAAAGACAGGAAGTCTTGAGTTAAGGTGCTTTCACAATCTTTAGAAATTCCTCTTTTGGATACCACTTTTTTGGACACTTTTTTAAGTGAATTAAAAAGAAACATAGCAACTGTAACTCTGACCATGTATACATTATTTCTTCTAATATTGTGCTGTAAGGTATAACTCCGTCTGTCAGATGTTTCATTAGGATATTAACCTGGTGTTTACTCCAGATTAACGCAGTATTTTGTTTGGAAGTATGTAGGTGTACAGATAGAATATGAGATAGAAAGGTACCTTTAAAGTTCATGCAACAAGTGTTGGACACGTCTATATTTTTATATATTATAAAGGGCATTGAAATTTTTTTCTTGCAGTTTTCGTGATTATTTAGTGCGGTAAATATACATATATTGTGACAATGTCTTCTGATATATCCATTACTTTGGTGTAATTCTATTTTATGTAGCAAATATGTGTATATACAAAGGAGATGATGTTAAAAAAGAAAGACGGATGGTTAATAAGCAGGCACGGGGACTGTGTGTGTCTGCAAGTGCCCCGTGCCTTGGGGAACGGGGGAGCGGGGCCTGCGCAGGGCTGGCTCCCCTGCCCTGGGAGAGGAGCCCTGGCAGGACGAGGCAGCAAAGCTCAACTTGTCCCTCGCCACGTGGCCCCGAGCCAGTGTGTCCCTTGCTCCAGTACTCCCTGGGGTGCTGGGGGAGGAAGCCCGAGGTGAGAGCTTTGATGTCCCTAGGGAACCGTTCCCGCTAGCAGGGCAATCCTTCCAGGGCTTGTCTGGGCCTCCCGCAGCATCCCTCGAAGCCAAATGAATCGTGAGCGTTGACTTGGGCGCCACAGGATGTGCTCCTACACGATTGAATTCTGCTGACAGAACAGCTCTGTTACACCTGGGGACCTGGTTGGTCAAGTTCTTCAGGAATGGTCTAAAAATACTGTAAAAATATAAATATATTTAATTACACATACTGAAGAAAATCCTATTTGTTGTGGTCAGAGTTCAGATTACTATGTGAATTTTGATTTCTTAGTCATACTTGCATATATATTGCTTTAACTATTCTGTATGCGAGGGGATGTGATTCTAAAGTGTGTGAAAGATCAGGATTACACCTGCATTTTTAATGGCTATGTTACGTAGGAATGGATCTCAGCAAATTTAACTCCATATTAATGCAGTTTTTTTGCATTAGAATATGTGTATATCATACACCCACATTTTTTATATATAATATATTATATATTTGGTACTAACTTTGTATTTCTCCTGAACCTTGCCAAATCCCGACCACGGACGTTCTCCCTTGTCAGACTTTGGTACTTAATGCCTGAATGTATCCGAAGTGCTCTAGCGTGCGAGGAGAGGCTTGTGGCCGTCTCCGCCAGCGGGCGCGTCGCCTTTTCCACATGTCCCATCTCCTGCCATTGCAGCGTCACTCACGTCTCCCGAGCCGTCGTCCCCGTTTCCAGCAGAACTGCAGACCTGCCGCTCCAGCTCGGCTCCACACAGCTCTGGCGCGAAAGCTGAACTGATAGCAGTAAAATACAGGAGTCACCAGTGTGCCACAAATGCATTTATTAAATGCAGAAATACGCGTTTCTACAAAGGCCAAAATCTTATGTTTGTGTGTTCCTTTCTTGTCCTTACATTGTATGATATTGTAAGATTATTGTATGTCCTAATTCGCATTATAAAATGTTTTTTCCTACTTAAAGGCATAAATATAGTAACTTTGTATAAAGGTAGCTTTCTAGATTTTTATTTCTTTTATAAAAAAAAAAGGTCTAAACAGTGGGAGTACCGTTGCCAAATTGTTTATAAAGTTTCAGTTAACTTGCCCTGTTGAATTAATTTTTTACAAACATTCCTTGTTTCCTTTATGACAAAAGTGATACTGTACTATGCATAAAGAGTGTATTTTTATGCCATTTGAAATCAACCTTAAAATTAATTTCACTTGTTTTAAACTTTCGTTACTGAGAAAGCTTACCAAATGTGCATTTAAAAAAAATGTATTATGTACTATGACAACATTGTCCCCTTTACCAGTGCCAACTTCATTTGAAAAAAAAAAATTGTAGCATGGCAATAAACTATTGATTTTACATTGAAAATAGTGTGTGGGTTACTTGGGTGTTTACTAACGGGAAGGATGTTCATTGTCAGTGTTGCTTTACTCTGCTTTTAGTAAAACACTTTTTGCTTTTCTTAAATCATTGTTCCAGGCACCTAGCTCTGTGTGATACTTTTTGTTTTTTTTTCTTTTCTTTTCCTTTTTTTTTTTTTTTTTCTAATGGTAAGGAACTAGAAAGTGAGGAATTGGGGTTTGGAAGTCTTTTTCACGGCTTTTTTTTTTTTTTTTTAAACAATGCTCTCTTCTTGATATATTTCTGTTGTACACAGACTTTTGGATTTCTTTTTTCTGTGTATTGTTGCCATTAATTACTGGCTAGTGAATTATATGTCATCATATTGAATGTACTTATTTTTCTAGTTGATTAAACAACTAAGAGATTTAACTTTTTTTTTTTAGTATATTGGTAAACTGAGAGGGAAACAAATGGCAGTAAAAAAATAGGATGAAGCCTCTCCAGATGTCCTCTTCATTTTCTTACAGGAACTGGAAAATAGTGGTGATTGCTCAAAATTCAGTATTTCCTCTTCTCTCCTTCCCAAGCCCTTGTTTTAAAGCATAACTTCAATAAAGATGATGTTTTGAGCCAACAAAAGAACAAAAGCTAGAGATTTCAGGAGATACTGTGTTTTCAGAATCTCTTAGGAAACAACATATTGGTCCTTGGAGAGTGTTGGTTAGATAATTTGTAAGTTCTAAGAAAACTCTGTTCTAAGGAAGTTTTGAGGCAATTCCCTGTGCCTGGGTAACAGCTTGCAGCTTCCAATCCTGAACAGCTGCTTAAGAGGCAGTTTAGTATGAAAACAAGCATGAACAAGGCTTCAGCATTAAGGAGCAACTTTGGTTCCCTTTATCCTCATTTCAGATGAATTCTAGGAGCTTTTGGTCAAAATGCTCGATGTAGCAGCGATGATGTGCCAATAGGCAAAGTTCCTAAATTCACAGTTCCTAAATTACGTTAGTAATATGATTGCAACTACACCATCATGCAATTGAAACAGCAATTCCAATTAAAATAGGCGTATACCTCATGTTCCTGATCTGAAGATGCTCTGTTACGCAATACAAATTTGAAGCTTGCTTAGAGTAGTTGGTATGAAGGATCCAAGGCTTAACTTTAACTGCATGTGTGTGGAATAGCATTTCCAATAATGATACAAGCTGCCCTGTTAAATTCATTATACATAAATCACAGTAATATGTCTGTTAAAATTTTCAGCTGGGACTCAAAGAGTTGGATGTGGTAGAGAGTCTCCATTTTATTTCCTTCAGCAAATTTTTATCTGCCTCAAGGTTGAAATGACTGTAACGACTGAGGTAAGCCCCAAACTACTTTGTGATCACTGCCCAAGTTACTAGTCTTGGAGAAGGTGGCAAACAGGTCTGCTCTGCACCCCTGCATGGCGGATAGCTCAACTGCAGTGCAAGGATGGGAATCTGCCTTGAGGTGCGGGCAGCCAGGCTGGAGCACCCGGAGCTCCCGGCGAGACCTCTCTGAGCAGCCGACCCTGCGCTGTTGGACCTGAAACACTGCACAGAGATAATTTACAAAGTACGATTTTCTGAGCATTTCATTTTCTAAAGGCTGTCCAGTAACTGTCCAGCGGGCAGAGCTAGGCCAGCAGGTTACACTGGGATTATTAGCTATTGCTTTTCTACTAAAGTGCATGTGATCTTCCTAGTTAAAGGTTGTTAATTGCTTCATCTCTGCTTCTTTTGCATGACAGTTTAAAGCACAAAACCTGGGTGAATTGTCCAAACCTTCCTAAAGCACAGTTCTGAGTACATCCCAAGGCATTTTTACACTTAGCAGTCATGCCTTTGCCAAAGCCCCTGCTCTTACACTAAAGGGAGGAATTAGGAAATTATAAATAGTGCAACTTCCATTTCTGAACAAAAACACAGGGTGCTTTTAAGCAGCTGAGAAAAGGGGTAACAGATGGAGCAAACTATTGAATAAAGACATTTAAAACCAACTCTTATTTTCTTGTACAAGCAGGCAACAAGCTTTTTGTGTAGAAAAAGTGGCTGAAGGTGTCTCGGTATGATGCTACACACCTGCAAAACTACCCCCAGAACAACTACCAGTGATTTCGTATCAAAATGATTTGTACCCAACTCTGCTTACTGAATTTAGGTGACCGAGCGGGCAGCAAAAACCAGGCACTGCTTGTCAAGCGCCCTTAGAGGCCAGGAGCCTCCTTAAAATTAAACCCAGCAGCCAGGATTTAAAATGTTTTGGCCTCCAAACACAGTGTGGAAGTTACCCTGCCGCTGGTGGGGGA